TATGCTTAAAAGCAATCAATATTCATAAATCACAACAATTTGTAGCTATCATTTGTTGCTTTCAGTTGATTTGACAACATGCTTCTACGGAGAAATAAAATATTATCCAACGCCTTTGACACGCTTTTAATAAAACTATCGATCAATAGATGCCGCCAGTCAGAATCGATGACAGTTTGCAAACGCTTGCTGTCTATCGATCAATATCTTGGAGATGCCAAAAAAAAACAAGTAAGAGGTTCTAGTCGGGAGCTCCCGACTAGGAGATACCCTGAACCCTCTTTTTCCAACATCAAATGCATAAATATATTCTATTTTAGAAGCTATATGTCAAGTTTGGTGACTCTAGCTCAAAAAACAGGATATCGATATCGATTTTTATCGATAGCTTGGAGACGCAGTAAGTTATCGATTATCGGAAACAAACTCGATCTGCGCGGGAACTAGGAGCATCACCATTTAAAATTTCAAGTCTCTAGCTCTTATAGGTTCTGAGATCCCTGCGTTTATACATACGAACGGACGGACGGACGGACGGACGGACAGACAGACAGACAGACATACGGACATGGCTAGATCGACTCGGCTATTGGTGCTACTCAAGAATATATATACTGTATGGGGTCGGAAATGCTTCCTTCTACCTGTTACATACATTTGGATTTTGCACAAATATACCCATTTTAAATGGGTTCAGGGTATAAAAAGGGAAGCGACACGATGTTTTTTTTTACTATTTCACATATAAATTAGTCTGGTATTGTGTTTTTTTTTAGGCAAGTCTTGTGCGCTACAATTTTCACACACCAATCAGCGACGTTCGGTTTACTAATTTTCGTAGTTGTTTAAAACTGGCGGCCATTTTGAATCAATTTGCATGTATAAAACGCAAACTAAATCGCATATTGATTAGCATAAGTTCTCTCGTAAGAAAATAAGATACGAGGCAAAAAACCCAATCTAAGGGCAAAACCCACGCCAATCAATTTTATAAGTAAACATTGGTTGTTCGCGAAGCGAAAGCTTTGAACTGTTTTTTTTTTTTGTCGGTGGACAACAACAAAATTTACGATGCGCAAATGAAATGCAGATTTTGTCGAGATATTTTAGTAGTGTTGTTGTTGTTTTTTTTTTTTCGTTTTTGTAGTGTTCGTCAACTCCCTCACAATTTATTAGATAACGGTACGGAGCATGGGCGAGTATTGTTTTCTTATGAAAACGACAAAATGTCGACGTTGTTAGCTGTCGATGGCGATGATATGATAATGCCGCACACATAAATATACAATGGACGGGGGTAAAACACATGCGACATGTCCATATGCATACGCATGTATGCATGTATGTATGCATGTATGTGTGCGTGTGTATGTATCTGTGTTAAAGATCGTTAGCTGCACAAGAATAACATCATTTTTCATTCTATTCGAGAGCAGATTGTGGAAATAGATAAAATAAGAGAGCGAGAGAGTGAGAGAGAGAGAGAGAAAATAGTTTTTGTTTTAATTTTAATTTATATAACATTTGAAATGTGTTTCTCTTGTTGTAACATTTTTTTGTTTTTACTTGGAGCTTAGTAAATGCCTGAGGCCGCATTTTTATTGGTCTTAATTTTTACCTGCTGCCTGTTGATTTGCTTTTTAACATTTAAATTGGTAATTTTTCTTGTTGTTGCCTGTTTTTATTATTTTTCTGCTGGCTCGGTTCATTTCTTATTGTTGTTGTTGTCGTTGTTGTCGCCCACTGCTTGTTTTTTTCTGTTTTTTTTTTTCTTTCTGTATGATGAAAACGCTTCGCCCAAATGTTATCTTGTTGTTGTTTCTACTTGTGTCGTTTTTTGTTGCTGTTTATTGCCTTTGCCAAATGAATAAAAATATATACAATATTTTCGTATGTGTGTCTGTGTAAGTGACGTTTGTCGTTGGCGTAAAAATACCAAAAAAAAAAAAAAATCAAAGCAAAACCAAAATAAGCCAAAGCACATGCAGTGGGCGGGCAGTAATTTGAGTTGGAATAAGTTGAGGTGGGCTGTGGTGAGGTGAAGTTGAGTTCAAAGCAGCTGCAGCTGCCGTTGCCAAAACTGCAGATGAAAACCTACTACAGTGGTATGCAATAATCGCCTTCTGTAGTGCATTTCGAAGATAAAAGAAAATTTGAAATAAATATTTATGTACTTATTTACAATTTTGCAGAGTAGCAGAAAAATGCATTCAAAAATAATGAATTAACAGAAATAAATTCGTAGAAATTACAATCTTAGTTAGATTTAGTAGAAAATTATTGATTTTAAGAGTACGAAAAACTCAAGTATAAATACAGCAGAGGAAAAAACACGGATATTGTAATCCTTGGGAATATGAAATTTATCAGAATTTAGACGCCCAGAATCGAGAGAGCTAAACTTATAAGATATATTTTAATTCTTAACTAGAATTTGTCTGTAAATAATCTCTTGAATAAAAGTGTATTTGGCAAGTTTTCAAGTAAAGGTAAACACTATGTTATTGACATTTATATGCACATTACAACAAGTCAAAATGTGATATCCAAGCTCTCACTAAGCCGCTGCGCCACATCCGGCTATACTTCAAATGTAATCAATTGAATTTAATTGCATATAAGCTGGTTCGTAAAAAAACCAACAACAACAACTACAAAGCTGATCAGTTGTCAAAGTGAACGCTTATGCTAGTACTTTAAGCATGCATGTGTGTGTGCATGTATGTGTGTGTGTGTGTATCTTGCATGTCTAATTTGTATGTCTCTCTTTTTAGTGTAATCGATTCGTTTCGCCGTGATCAAGCAGCTATTCAAAGGCACATAAAATTTGCTCGTTTCCATTACACCCCACAATTTGTCTCTCTCCCAGCACTGTGCATTTTTTTTTTAAAACCCACTGTCTACAAAAGCAACACAGCAGCAGCGACAGCAGCAGCCGCTAACAACAAGAACAGCAAAAGAAACAACAACAACAAAGTTGAAGCTGCGTTTGTCGCGTGGTCTGCGCTGTCCCTCTCTGCGCTGCTCTGCTCGCACAGTCTCCTGTCGTCTCTCTTTCTCTTGCTGTGTATCTGTGCCGAGGTGCGTGGGCACGAGAACGGAAACAGCGCGCAGTCAGCGTCGGCGTTGTCTGTCGCAGTTGACGTTACGTCAATGTGAGATGTGTGCGTGTGTGTGTTTGTTTGCTTGTGTGTATTTATTTGTATTGGTCTACGGCTTACAATAACAACATAAAAGGTAAAATCGTTGCCTATTGCCGCGCTGTCTGCGGCGACTAATTAGGTAACGTGCCAGCTACAACAACAAGAACAGACCCATGATAAGAGCAGCGCAGTCGCTGCGCAGCAACAACGACGCAAATAGCAACATAAATTTTGCACACAGTCGCACACGCACATACAAAAAAAAACACATATATACACTAACAACAAAATCCAATAAGAAAGCAACTGCGCGGCCTGCCAGGCTGTCTGTGCCAGCGGCAGCCTCGTCGCGCTGCCGTGCGGTGTTGTTGTTGCTTTTGTTTTGTTTTTTGTTTTTGCAAAAATAAATTTAATTTTGTAGCCATTAATTTTCCACTCTAGATACGAACGCGAGACGCTGCCACCGTTGCCCACAGCTACCCTCACGCCTGCGCCCGCAACGTCTATATGGTGGCTGGCTAATTAAATAACTAAAAAGAGTTTTTATAATTGTTGGCTTATTTCATTGCCTTCTGCTTGGATGCTTTGGACTGCATAAATACATATACACACACACACACACACACACACATACATACAGCAGTTGCTGCATGCACGCACGCTTATAACGGTTTATTAAAACGAAGGCGCAGCAAACAGGGCGTCAAGTAAGGGAGCTAGAGCAGTACGGCATGAGAGAAGCTTCAAGTTTAATTTGGGTTTTTTCTTCTTCTTTTTTTTGCACAATTAGTTAACATTTGCGTATTTATGCATGTGTATGTAAATAAAAACGCGCGTGTGTTTGTGTTTATAATAAATTAACGTCTTTTTTTGTTATCGCTTTAATGATAAACCGTTTTGCTTGATTGGTCTAAAGCGCATAAATAACAAACAAACAAAGCGTACAAAAGTGTTATTGTTATTGTTGTTGCCTTCTTGATAAGACTGAGGGGTAGCTTGTGATACGTGTGTGATATCATATGCCAAAATATACACCCCCTCCCGAGTAGGGTATGTGTGCCAGTCAGGTGGACTGGACTTAAGGAATTAACCTTGGGAATGTGCGATAAAACAAATATGTATTGCAAAATAGCTGATAGCAATGTGGGGGAGAGAAAGATAGATGGATAGAGAGAGAGAGAGAGTGAGAAAGTGTCCTAAGGATTTTCAAGAACTTGCAATAAGAAAAAGTGTGTACATATAATATATATATATGTGTTAAATAATACTAATATATTTTTCTAATTTTGGAAAGTTTCTAATGTGAAAACCAAAAATATGTAAGGAATTTAATAAAGTTTAAAGACTGCGTCTTTATATAGTCGATATGGTTCTAAATATATATTTAATTATACCGTTTGCCATTTATATATAAGCTTGAGGTATTCCTCCAATGAATATATTTTTTTTAGTATCCGATAATCTCAGCTGCTTATGAGAACATGCTTGGGTACTATATTTAGAAACTGTGAGACATCATGAGGAATTCGGCGACAAATTTTAAATATACTTCACATAAATATATAAATGGATATGCATAGATTATTTTTTAAAGAATTAATTATACGTTCCAAGGGGAATTTATTGCTATTTTGTTGCATAAAATAAATCTGTATATTTCTTAATGGATATACATAAGCATTTGACTCGATGAAGGGGATTATAATTCATTATGAAATCTAAAATTTATTTATATAATACAATAATCCATACGTAGAACAAGTTTGGGATAATGGAAAACTTTCAAAATCTTAAAAATTTGGAATACAAACAAATAGCCAGAGTTTTTCACTTCATCAAGGCAACATTATGAGATTTAAGCCCCGGCTCAGTCAGTATAAATTACAATCACAACACGATAGGAAGCAAAAGATGAGCGAGATTTTCAAAAACTTCTTCGGAAAATTACTTCAACCGGTAAATATTGAAAATAAAACTGCAAGCAACTATAGAGCTCAGCATTAAGGATCGCCATACTGTAGATAATGTCTGGTGACGCTTCCGCCAATGTAGAACCCATCGAACAGCCGATAAAGCCGCGCCGCAGCGCCCGTTTGGTGCTCATGCAGGAGCGGAAGCGACATGTCGAGCAGGAGCTGAACAATCGAGTGGAGGAACAATTGGTCCAGCGTCTGGATAATCAATTGCGCGTGCAAAGGCGGACCAAGTACACCAGACGCTTGACCGCTCATGTGGAACAGCTAATGGAGGTGCCAGAACTGGAGCAAGCGCAGCAGCCGCGCTTCGTGCCGCTACAGAATAGACCCAAAAAGCGTAAACACAATCCGAACAACAGCTCACGTTGCGTCTGTACCGAAATTAATGGGGAATACTATAAGCTTTACGATCTGCCCGATGATGCCGAGTATATTGTTCCAAATGCTGCACGTGGACCTTAAAAACGCATTTATATATATTTTTGATAATTGAAAAACTCGTGTTTCTGAAAATTCATGAAAAATACCTCCACGAGCGTAGAAAAAATGTTCTAAAAAATGTTTAAAAAAAAATAGTTGTGTCACGTTGAGAACGGGAATTTGTGGAAAAAGCTTAATGTAGTTAATTAAATATTTTTTTTGATAAAAGAATAAATCGTACGAAGGAATCTTCGGCTCAGATTAACAGAATCCTGCACTTTTCCTTTTTTAATCGAGTTTATATATATATTTTGGTTAGCGAAAACAATCTGAACGTGAATTACTTTGGAATTTTTCTAGTCTACAAATTTGGGTATTTGATATTTTATAGCAGAAAAATAGTTAAATCAATTTATAGAATCGTTGAATAGGATCTTAAGAATCCGGAGGTCTTTGTTCTGACTGTTATTTGAAAATAGTATACAGTTTGATCATCTCTCTTACAAAGCTTGTTACAATTTTAAGAATAGTGGGACTTTTTTTCGTTAAGCTCTGTTGAATGTATGATTCATTACAATGAACTCTCAGATGATGTTGATCGGGATGTGTCACAATCTGAACGTCAACTTTGGAATCATGGCAGTCTACAAATCTCTTCAAAAGCATCCTGACATCGGCTTTTTAAAAGGAAGATACATTTTAAATCTCTGCTCTCTACAAATCTTGCAGATCCTTAAAAGCTTCAAGATATCTTTTATCAATCCGTCTAAAAATCTAATTGAATAAGAATCTTATCATGCGCATCTTTCATATAAGATACAATCTGAAACTTTGTAGTCTACAAATCTTAAAGATTGTAAAAATCCTTGGCATTTTTTGTACCCTTAGCTATTTTCAAATAAGTACGATACATTGGGATCAACTCTCTAACAAAGCTTGTTACTGGCAACGCGTTGTTACCCAGAAAGAGGCGTGAATAAGCCATAAATCAACTATTTCCCTATATTTGATTCCATATCTCGTCTAATTCCATAGAAATTCGTTGCTGTTTTATAACCCGTGACATCAGCTGCATGAGAGTTGTACAAATTCAATTTGCTTACGGTGGCTAGAAATGCATATACCCTGTAAGGGATAGCCAGTAGGGTATGTCAACTAAGGGATCAAGAGGAGATCATGGGTTAACAAGAGCTAAAACAATATTCATATTTGTAATTTAATGAACGCTAGACATGTGCATACCCTGTAATCAGAGAATTAAGATTAATTAAGAGAATTTATGTATCTTCTAGTCGATCTATAAGTTACACTCATATTTACCCTGTACTGCGATATAAGGTAAGGTAAGCTTATAAAAAAATGAATTAATTAAGGAGTATTCATCGATTTTGATGACTTAACTCCATGTACAGGGTATAACAGGTCGAACACTTTCATTTACTGTGACTAAAAACTTGTATACCCTGTATTTAAGGTGATTAAAAACATACTGACTCATAAATATTAAAAATAGCCCTACAGTAATGTACTCTGTTAACTTTTATTTACTTGACAGTCACGTACAGGGTATTTTATGAGCGTTCTGGTTTATCTCTAGTATTTCTGTTTGTTATTACTAAACGTGTTATCACATCGCACACGATAAGCACTGAACAAAACAAACGACAAACACATTTTATGGCTGCGACAAACCAACTTTGAAAGGCCCCACCAGACTTATGAGCCCTCAATTTAAGATAATGTCAAGTGGACGTCTTTTTTTTTTATATTTTATTTTCGAAATTTTTGCCAGGGTTTAGTCAAGAACGAGCTGCAAATAAACACAATTTCTTTAGAGCTTTAGAAACTCACCTTGAACTAAAAAGAAATAAGCGTTGACTTGTAAGTACGCAATTTATGCGGCCCATATATAACGCTTACGGATGCAGCTCAAAGGAAAGAAAGAAAGAAGCCGCTGCTGCTGCAAAGGCGTAGGCGGGGGCGTGGGCGTGGGCCTGCTGGCCTCAGGCCACGGGAATGACCAGCAGCGCATACAAAATTAATCCGCAGAGCGCAATAATTTTTCGATTTAATTTTGGTCTCTTTTTAATATTTTGCTGTTGTTGTTTTCTTGGTTAAAGCGGCTCAAGAAAATCTTCAGGCATGTCAAATTGAGCTCCATTCAAAAAAGAGCGAGAGAAATATACAAAACAAAAGCTACAGAATGCGGGCAAGTTGAAAAAAAACCATTAATTTAGCATGCTCCAATTAACAGTGCTAGACTAGCAGCTACCCTGTAGCCACTCGTTGTGCCTCGTCTTATCTTACAATATAGAAATCATTCCTTAATCATTTCTGAACCCTATAAAAGCAGCAAGGCTTTCACTTAGCACTAAAAAAATTATACCAAAAGTCAAAGTTTTCATTCTTGAATAACTTGAGGATTACTTGTGCGATTGTCATACGATTTTCAGGGTTTTAAAATAGCATTAAAAACTACGCATATACCAAAAATCAAGATAATATATAAAGAAATTTGATGAATTTTTTGAGAAGCTTGAGGAAATTGATCAATATTTCAGATCAGTATGGGCTATTCGGGAGCTTACATGACAAATTGTGTTGTAGTGTTTGAAATATGCGTAACTTATGTTTAAATATCGATATTTATCGGTAGTTAACGTTGTCTTGAATCAAGTTTCATAAGCACGCACTTAACAAGCAGCCAAATGCTGAACTAGAAGTTTCTAGCTCTGCTAGCTAAGGTCTGAGCTATCTGCGATCGCCGCCTCCAAACAAATGGCAGAATATGTATATATGTATATATATGCTTGCAGCCTCCGCCTTTATTATACCCGCCTTTAAAGATTTTCAATGGGTAGTGGGTATAAAAAAACAAAATAAAAAGAACGCAATGCGGCTGTCAAAAGATCTTAACGATGAAATAAGAGGAAGAAAAAAAAGCAACGACGAACGAAAAAAGCTGAAAAAACGATCCTGGCAGGCGAAGACTTACAAAAACGCGCAGAAGGGCTGTCAGTTTGCGCGCTGCCAAGTTCGCAGTTTGCAGTCTCCAGAGCCGAAAGAGACACACACAGATGCGCACACACACAGGCACACACACTGGCACAACACATGCACTGTGTTCGGGCCAAGTGAGAAAACCAAGCGCGACACCAACACCAAAAACCGGCTACGACTGCGGCTCTGGCGTCTTTTCTGACGGCCTGCGGCCTGTGGCAAGGGAATTGAATTGAATTTCCAGTCGGACGTTCAAAATTTGTGCCTTTGCCTTTTTTAAAGGTGTGAAGAAAAAATAAAATACAAAGCACAGCAACAACAGCAACAGCAACAACAACAACAAAGACGACGTGGCCCAGCACGAAATTCTGAAAAACTTCAGCCAGAACGAAATCAACTGCAGATCTGCCAGAACAGAAACTAAAGAACTGAGCCCAGCCAGATACCCAGGAATAAACAACAACAACAACAACGACAACAACAACAACAACAACAAAATAATAATAAGAAACTGAAAACTGGATTGTTGGCTCGTTTTCCAGTGCTGCGGCATGGGGCAGACTCTTTGGGATTTCACAGAGGGTTTCAGCATTGTTGTTGCCACGGCTCTGGCTATGATCTCTGCCAGTTAGAAGAAGCATCTGTTTCTTTCGTGTTTCGGGTTTCGGTTTCGGGATTGGTTTTTCGTGTTGTTGCTTTTTGCCACTTCGGTCAGCCCTGACAGGCCTCAAGAACCGAAGGTGAAAAGTACTTATAATAAGGAAGCCTGACGGGTAAATGGGCGCATTAAGATTACGGCTCGTCAAACGCATACCCTACAATATGTGCCTTTTTTTTTGTTCCTTTTCTTTTTTTCTGTTTTTGTCTGGGTGTTCTTTTCTTTCACTATATAGCTGACTTTTGTCCTGACAAACTCAAGTGTAACAATCGTTTCTTTTTTTTTTTCATTTTTCAATAATGATCTCTTAGCTTATAGAATTCGGATTTATATTGTTCGTTCATGCATGGCAAATGCTGAAAATATATTTCTTATTAAGATTTATTCAAAGGAACAAATCTTAACAAAGCGCGCTTCGTATTTAATTATTGAATGTGACGTCTTTTGAGACAGCTTGGGAAAATGAATATCAGGAAAAACTGTATCAATAATGCGGACCAATGTCCATTGAAGAATGAGTTGACATTTCTTAGGGTATCTTTAGAATTTGTTAGCTCTTTGTATCTTTTGAACTTTGCCATGACATATCGAAATATGAATTAAGATTATGTGCTTTAATAAAGATCTCTTAACTTTAAATACAATTCATTTGATAAGAAACTTATCTTTGAATTACTGCACACATTGATTGCAAGAATGTCTTTATAAATTGTTCTATAATATTTGGATTGAATAAAGGAATATTATCTGGAGGTCTTTAATGTATAAGATGTTTCATAAATATATAATAAATATAAAATAATAATAAATGTGTATAATAAGTCATTAGTAATCTCAGTGTTATATTATAATTGATAGACCCTTTCAATAAAATTTAATTTTCAACTTATTTACGAATTATTTGTTCGTTTTAATATTTTTTTATATTTTTATGAATCATAAATCATAATTAAACTTTTGATATAAGTGTATATAACAATTTAATTTTGCATAGGCAATATATATTTTTTATTTTGTTTTAATTTAATTTAATTTAATTATTTACGCTTCGGTTATCTATACGTACTTTTTAATTAAAATTAAATCTAAGACGCACATATCTAAAAAAAATTTGTTAAATTCTAGAATTTTATCATTAATTTATAATTTAATTTTCTGTTTCTATAAGGTCGAAAGAATCTTGTTTTCTTTCAATTTTTGTTGGTTCTGAATTTATATATTTGAATGAAATAGCAATATTATGAATTAATATTTCATATTATTAATATTATATTAATTTTGATTATTGCTATTTATATTTCTTATGTGAATTATCCTTGAAACGTTTTCTTAATGTTCTGAGTTTTGATCTAGGTTTATTTTCTCCAACAATTTTTTTTCTTTCAATATGTGCTAGGGGTAAGCACTTAGATAGCATAACTAAATAATGATTTTATATAGTCATTCATATTATTTTTTGTTAATTTTCTATTAGTAGTTTTGTAAATGTTCTGAGTTTTGATTGAGATTTGTTTCTCTAGATGTTTTTCGCTTTCTATTATTCGCAAAACATAGCCATATAATAGTTTTTCTATAGTTATTATTTGTTGT